AAGTTTTAGACGCGTGCAACGCGTGAGAAAACTGAATAGGAATATACGTATCCTAATGGTTTAGCATTCCTACGCGTCGAGGAAAGTTTATCAACACGTATTAATCAACATCAACGGCGAATTGAAATATCGAAATGCAACCCTCGCAACACGACAAAGCAAAGCGGCGGCAAACCGTCGCCGGTGAAAGTGAACTCTGCTTCGCATATCTGCTCTTGTACGCTGATTTTATCGCAGCTTAAATAAAAACAACGGAAATGCGCGTTGCCGATAATAAGAGATAAAGGTGGCGGGTTGAAAATCAATCGCGATATTATATTTCCCGAAAACCGCGATCTTATTCAATGTGGTTCATCGAAATGTCCACAGGTGGTTTTTGCAGCTGTTTCCTTGCTCCCTCGAAAGAAACTGCTATCAAGCGTCGAACATTTTCTAATGAAACACTATCGCTTGTCGATATTAAAATCGAATTTAAAATCGATTTTAATGTAGCGAGAAACTAATGGTCCACATTTTTGTCTTTTCTATTCCTCTTAACTCTCCTGTGCCTCTCCGTTCACTACTTTTCACTACTGGTATCTGATATCAAACTGACGGACTTCTATGTAACCAAATAAATGTAATAATTGCTAATAACCAGGTAAATAAATAAACCTGGATTTTTCCGAACACGAAAAGTGTTTTAACCGTTTGCCAAGGGAAAAAAGCCAGACACGTACGCTAGACACCGAAATAAAACCTCGGGATCCTGTTTTACCGGGTGGCTGTCTAACTGCAACGCGTGTGATGTAATCATAGAGCCGACGCGCACCGATCAATTCCATTAAACAGTGCATTAATATTCATTAGCCGCTCATCTGCTGAAACGTCACTCTAATGCACTAATTATCGTCAATCAGAAAAATGGAATATTAAACAGGACCACAGTCCCGTGCTTCAGCGTACGAAATCACGAAGCACTTTGAGCGAACATGGGACGGACAAACGCCAAACGTGTGTTCCGCGGTGTGCTGCCGAAGAGAGAGAACGAGAGATTTGCGTAAGACGTCTAATCCATAAATGACTCGGCCAATCATGCTCCTTGCATAAGGATCCGAGCCCAGCCGTGATTGGCAGATTCGCTTGTGCGTTACGTCTGCCTGCCAGACTTACGTAAAACTCTTTCGTGCGATCGCCGTGCAGCCGTAAAACCATAGCAAAAATCAACGCTCGTTTCGAATAAATTTTTTGCATTTCCCCCTTCTTATTCGCTGTTGATCCGTTCATGATAACATCTTCAACGAATAGAATTTTTGATAGAAATTTGATAGAAATTTCGTCGATCAGAGATTAACAAAGGGAAAGTAGTTTGTTAATTTGGCACTATCAGGTGATCGCTTGTTTGAGTGCAAATGAGTAAAAAACAATTCATGTACATAGTTGGAAATTACATGATTGGCGTTCAGGTTCGGATAAGTAGATTCGATCGGCAAAGTGCATTTAATTGGGCATTAATAATTTATTTTAATAAGTGGAGACAAGGTGTTAGATTTACTATCTACTGTAACGTATTAGATTTCTAATATCCTGTCAGAGAACGTACGTTAACGCGCCGTGGATTAGATGTTTTATCGTTAACCATGCCCGGTAATTTGCGTGACGTATTCTCGCGTTAATCTCGAAAGGGTTAACCAATTGCTTTCCGCGACTTTACATCCTAAATCACCACTATCCTCTGTAATCTCGCGCTGTCCATCCAAAATAGACAGACTATCAAATAAGGCAACGATCCGGTCGCTGTCTTCGCAATGTCCAAATAAATCGTCCACAATTTCCACGTCTAAACGAAGACAGAGACGAGTCGCGGTAGCGAATGAGAGCGGTATAGACAACAGCAGCAGGTCGATTTCACCTGAACGACTCAATCGGCTTGGACGAGCGTACACGATCAGTTTGTAAACACGAGTTTATCAACGAGCAAGGAAATGAACGGCTTAGAAGGGGCTAAACGCCGCCTCGTAACGGCCCTCCGAGACGGTTGCGAGAAAGCGCTGGAATCCATTCGGGATCGGCGGCCAGGGCACACGACGAGTGGACAAATTACAGGGTACACGAAATAATGAGGCTCCCGTTCTAGGATGTATACCAGAAATCGGGCCATCTCGCGGCTATAAATCACACGGAACACGACCGAGCCGCTTCGTAAAACGGCCAATTGACGAGTTTCAGAGCCTGCTGGGAGCGTGGCACGAGGCACAGTCTCGAAACGCGTTTGCTCACCATATCCACCTTCCGCCATCGTTTCCCTCAATCACCTTTCACGCGTAGATCTATGTTTTTCTCTTTTTATTAATCTTCTCATTTATTTTTTGTTGAAATACGTCGATATATTGCCAGAGTTGAAGCGCAATCCATTAAGGTTAGCTATTATTTTTCTGAGCTGCGAATCCAACGCGGTTGATACGAAAAAACGGGAAATCATTCGGTGGGAGAGTCGTAGAAAGCGTCTCTCGATACGAGCTAAAGCTAAAGTTATTTTACACTCGCTTCCCAAAGTTGATATCGAGTACCTTTCATAAATCGTATTCTGTCGTTACGCGTTCCGTTACTTTCATTTATCAACGTACTCGCTTCGACGTTTTTTATCTGCAAGATTTTAGATCGAGGGAAATCTTGAACTTTGAGATTCAGAGCAGCTTGGAATTTCACCGAGAGTATAGAAATTCACGTACGCGCATACCTTAGTAGGAATGTCGATTGCTATATGCTGAATTATGTTATTACTGGAAAATGGGCTGGTGCGTATTGAAAACACGCGACTAGAATTTTAGGCCACGCCGCTTTGCCACGCGAACTATTAAACGCGTATAATGCGAAAGAAATGCAGGATCGTAAGATAATTTCGCTCACGGTAAGAAGTAATATCGAAGAGAGAAAAGCGGACAGCATGGCGAAAGATCGAAAGTTGGACCTCGTTTCGCGAACGAAAAAGAACGACGCTGGCGCTGGATCCTCTGAATTTGGCTGGCTGGATCATGAATCATCGGTCGGGGACTCGTGTACGTGTGCACATTCGAAATTTATTTTATTCGTGTAGTCGAAGGAGGGGAGGAAAGTTCAATGGAAGAAGAACCTTCCACGACGCGACAAGAAACCCGAACGCGTTGAATATTAAAAGTTGACACCGGCACGAAGGTTTTGTTTCTTGATAGTAACACGGTGAGAAGCACACACGACAAGGAATATGCAAAGAGAAAGAGAGGAAGGGGAAGAAGGTGTTGCAATAAAGAAATAAACACGTAACGCGTCATGAATTTTCATGTAAATCACGTGTCCATTACGATTTATCAAACCCCATTGTAACGCTGCATTCCTCCATGTCAGCCGATGTATAGCGAAATTACGAGCAGATTAATGCCGATAGGGGCGTATTAACACGAGTGCCGGCGTTAAACGGTCGCCTCTAAGTATTAACCGACCCCCTTCTGATAATGGATTTTAATTCGACCGATTTTAAACGCGCGTTTTAATTGCGCGACGCTCCAAGGTTCGTGCACGTCGATGGACTTCGAACTCTTATCGTTGCAATCGTACGCAATACCACTCTTCCCTGCTAGACGTTTTCAAATTGCCTGTAATTCTACCGGTTGATAACGAAAATCCTTATCGAACGATAATTCAAGTATTTAGGTATTTATATACTTTTAGGGGGGGGGGGAGGGATTACAAAATCTTCTTTATTTTTTGAGAACATGAGACTTTTGGGGACGAGTACCAATGAATGGGCTTGCAAAATGATCGATAGATTGCAAATTTTTATGTTTATAAGAAATTTAAAGATGTAGAAAATGTACATAGATAGTACATAGATCGCAAATAATAGACGAAGATAAAAATAAAATGTAAAATATCCGAAGTAAAGTAAACGAAACGAATTCCTACTTAGATCCTACTTTTCTATTTGTGTCCATAAAAATACCAATTTGCGTAAAAATTCACAGTCTGCTAGTAGATCATACTGTCCGAGAAGTTCTTAATTTTAATAGCAATATGTACGATGTATGTGTAACTTTTCGGAAATCAAATGATTACTCTAAATGGAAATTAATTTGATTAATTTAACTATTGTCGACAAATTTCTTCCTTTTTAAATACTTATAAACGCGTCTATGTGTTAGTACTTAACGTTAGTACTTAACTTAACGATTTGTACATGTTACAGCATAATTGTTTGGTTTCTACATGTTCACCGTTCTTCTTTCATTACACTCTTATACTTATGTATCTTATACTTGTCCAAGTAACGAAGATTATTATATCATGTAAGCATCTTTTTCATATTACTTACGCATATTATTGCATCTAGCCATACGTGTAACAGAACTATACGTATCATTCAAACACACCGTCACGTGTATTATCCTTGAACGTTATACGTAATTCGTTAACTCGCCTGTTATTATACTCTATACTATATGGTTAGATTTCATCATTGCGTCCGCAATACACCTTGTCATTTATTCTTACAGTTCGTTTTACAATTCTATATCTCGCGAAAAATTAAAAAATAAAGAAGTATAAATATTCGAGACTGAGAAAAATCATTTACACTTTACACTCTTTTTACTTCATTTTATTACTACCTGCCCTATGCCTCGATAAAAGTAAATAAAAAATCAATACTTATTTGTTGTTTGCTCTCTGTATTCCATCTTATTTCAGTGAAAAATGAAAACACCGATGATATACATAAAAGAATAAGAAGTTTCGTCTACTCGTCACATGGAATTACCTTACCATGCTCTTTATATTTTACTATTCTTATGACAGGTACAGAATGTGGACAATAATAATGATAAAAATATTCGTCGCTTTCTGTCTGTATTTTCCAACTGTATTTCGCTACTCCGTAATACCAACGAAAAGAAGGATAATGAGAATAAAAATCTTCAAGCCGGGAAAAGAGATAGAAAGATGTGGAGACGAGAGAAAGAAAACAGAGAGTAAAGAGGCAAACTCACCCATAAATCGCGTCCTTGTCGCGTTTGTGGACATCGGGTACCGCAGATGCTGC